CGTATTATTTATCTTTTTAAGCAGCTTTACAAATTCAACTTCTTTGAACATTTTCTCCGTCACATTTCCACTTCTGGTACAGTTCGGTGTATTTGGCTTTCAGCGGGCCAAACACGGCCACAACAAGAACATGGAGAATGTGCGTTGAGTTGGGATACAGAACAACTAGCTTCACGTCATTTTCGTTGCACCACCTATACACATCTTCAACGAATGGTGACCAGAGTACCCATCCACAACGAGTACAATTGGACGTTGTGTTCCCATATCAATCCAACAAGGGTTCAATTGCTGTGTGACAAAGAAATAAAAAGCATCTCCTTTCATCCATCCGGGTTGAGTCTGGTTGAATCCAAAGTTAGCACCAACAGATCCAGAAGTAGTTGCAGCAGCAACAAGATTACTAAACGAATCTTTAAATGTTACTAGTGGTGGAACGTAACTCTCGTAACTTACATATCTTGATAGAGCTGGAATTAGGGCGCAACAGCTTTTGTAAACAATGACTTCTTGCGACTATTTCCTAAAAGTCAAGGCTTTTCAACGCAAATCAACATCACCATCGGGTAGAAGAAGAGTTCCCCTACCCGATGGTAATATTGCTTTGCCTGGGCATCCTTTGAATTCCTAGATATCATCGAGGGAAGTCATTGTTTACAATAGCTGTTACGCCTTAATTCCAGCTCTATCTAGATATACCAGGCTAGCTACTCCGCTCTTGTCATGTGTTGTGTGATGTCATCAGAATTGGTGAAATAAACAATCAAGTTTTCATTGTCAATATACATCAATTTTCGAACTTTTCTAATGAAACCTCATGAAGTTCATGATAACCACATTTAATGCAATGGAAAATGCAACAACAATTAAATCACCGGTTTAAAAAGCTAACGGATGTTACCTCTTGCCCTCGAATGTGGCATCCGTGGTGATGATTTCCTGAGTGACAGTAAATTTCTGTCGAGAAACCGCTTTACACCCCTGTTTCCATCTCGTAGGATCTCATCGGGTACCGTAAGAAAACACCCCGAAGGGACCGGCTCCGATGCTCAAGCTTGTGTTGGATGTTCGATGCTGCAGGAACACGAAGCTATCAGGATCCTCTACAACATCAAATGCAATTTCTCAGAGCTGCTTGAGTTCCGGGGTTGCCACAATGTGCCAAAACCCGGATGAATTCAAATCCCGTGAGGCAAGTCGAAAACCCGAGAACTGTGAAAAAAATGTTATCTACTGCACTATTTACTTTAACGATTCTGATTACGTCAATTCGGCCTACTTCGGTTGATGTTTACTCTCTAATGAGCTAGCCTGGCATATGTAAGCCGTGTGTGCAAGTGATGTTTTCTTTCGGCTTTCCACGCCCCTTATTGTGCGTAGACTTCATTTGGCATTGGATTCATAACGAAGTTGGTTTCGTCCACAGTCCACCAGGCTGATCCAGGGGATACAAAATTTGCCCGTGTTCGAACTGACTATAAACGTACTCAAAATATCGCTCTTTCAAGCGCTTCCGGTGTCCGCTTCGAGATTTCAGGATGTCTTCTTAGGAACTTGTTCAGCCATCCTGTCGATGTTGTTCCTCGTGTGAAAGTGCTGCCTCCCTTCAGAGTTCGGAAGCTGCTTCGGGTATCTTATTTGTTGTTTTGGCACTGAATCCCCTTCAGTTTGTCGCTTAACGTTGATTTCTTACTTTACGCTGACAATGAACCACTTTTGACCTCATTAAGAGCCTTTTGCAGTGTCTCAGGGGAATATTTTATGGGTCTCATTTCAAGCACCTACGGTGAGAAGAGAACTTGAGGCATTGTGAATACAAATGAATATCAACCTACCTTTCTTGTTGTTGTTTGCTTCGATAGTCGATTCAGTTGGCTTCGTGCACAATTCCGATCCGTTTTCGTTTCTTCTGATGTGTTTCTGATCAATTTTTCACCAGTTTTCCACGGAACCTTTTATGTTACTATTAGTATTAAAATGAGCATGAGCATGAGCATGATTGACCGCCCACGGTTGCTACTCTGTTATTGCCAGACCAGCTGTAATTACACAGAGAACCAATAGACGATGCTTGGGACTAGCAATCATCCTCAATGTGTAAAAACTGGTGATCTCAAACTAGGCAATACCAGCGCCGGCCGCGACCGAACACAGGTCAAGAAAGGAAGGGGTAGGAATGTGTTGACGTGACACTCGCTTTGATGGAAGCCGAGAACACCTCTGCACTTCCACGAGGAATCACTGGGATATTGGGTAATAGGGTTGGGTTTGCAGCAGGGTTCGTTTTGGTAAATGATAAGCTAACGCAATAATAAGTATAATGATGTCCTAACAATCATTTAACGCGAAGGAGCTTGGGATTGAACCCTCGGTCTTCTGCTCAGTAAGCAAAAATGTTTGCCACTAGACAGACGAGCCCCTTTTTATCATCGAGTTGCTGTTATTACCATGTTGTCATGTTAACAAATAAAACGATTGACGAATCTTGAATGTGGATGGGCTTGAGATTAGATTCATGATATTCTGCTCAGTAAGCAAAACCGGTTGTTCTAAGGCCACCGAGCCCTTCACATCACATTATAGCGTTACTCAAGTTTTTATAACTATTCAGACCCGGCACCGACGACAACGAAAAGTTTTAAAAATACACGATAAACAAGCGATCTTACCATACATTTTTAATATGAAAGGACCTGGGACCGCGTTTTTCTGCTCAGTAAGCAAGCCTCTGCAACCGACGATCTTTGAAATCCTAAAACTAAAAGCTACGAAAGAGTACTTAGGCCTTCATTAAGATCCACTTTCACGCGACGTTCAATGTTTCGATTTTCTCTGCGCATGGTTCAGGCAATCATAACAAGCTATGACCGACGTGACGATTGTTTAAGACCTGGATGAACAAGCTATTCAAATGAAATTACGTTCTCGAATTTCACTTGGCATGTAATGAAAAACAGAAATACGCGATAATTCATATTTTCAGCGGTTGGTGGTTAATTTTAAATATACTAACGGTACTGCGTACGACTACGATGGCGATTACGACAGCGACTACGACGGTGCCTACGAAAACGACAACAGCGAATTTATAACTTACCATTTGTCTAGGATAAACACCTTTGCCCGGCACCTCCAGTGCAGTGCACTGGTTTTTCATGTCCGCTATCTGTCACTGTTTGCAAAGTATCTAATAGCAATTACCTTCCAATACCAATACTTCCTATATTGCCATGGTCATCTGGGAGGAGGGTCGCATCTAGTGCTTTCCCCAGGAACCGTTCACGGCCACCAGCTACTGCCCGTCCAGTCTTGGGCGTATCCAGATTACTTACAATTTCCGACACTCAATGCAAATCGCAGGTACACTTACGCTAGTTACAAAAAAAAAACACACCCGTGAAAAGAAACGGATCAAATAAACGTCACTCTCGCGAAAGCACACCGTCGTCGAACGGCAAAAAAAAAGGAATCGGTAGGCAATTTTGTGATACTTATTTCCAAAATCAACTGGGAATGCACGAATTTCACCACAACCAACTACGAAACACGTTCAGAAGCACTTTCGTTCGAAAACACTTAATTTTTTACAAAAATAGTTGCGAGTGAACCAACATTATCACCGCGTAAATAAACTAAAATTAAAATTATCGCTCGCGATGCCACAAATTTCTGGACCGGGAGAAAAAATCAAACAGCGCAGATAGCGTCAAATCTTCTGTGACTTGCAAACATGATGAGTCATGTTTTCTTTCTCGATTCTAAAACTTCTCGGAAAGCGAGAAAACCACCACTCACACATGTATAACCGTCCGGGAGGCAGAGTGCCAGCGCTAATCCGGCAAATACAGCCGAAAACTATGAAAGCGAATGCACGCACAAAACAGAGAACAAACTTAAGACACAACCGTATCCAAAGGCGTTCGAAACTCGACCACTCTTTATGTGACTATTAGTTTTAGAATGTAAACAAACTGGTGATTCGATGAAGTAGGTATTATGAACCACGTTTATTTGTAGTTCGAACCAAGATAAAAAAAACTACAATCGTAATTTCACGGTCAAGGATTACGTAATGTTACAGCAATGAAGAAATATGTAAGCCTCGATGTTTTAAAATTGTTTCAACCTTTACTTCACGGTTTAAACAAATAGCTCTAATAGGAACAATCCGAATCCTTGATTTGTTTTCCGTCGATCTTGTTTTCCGTCGATCTTGTTTTCCTTGCTGAGCACCAATGCTACCGACGCCAGGGAGGATGCTCCCACACCTGGACCCTACATATCGACCCAACCAGGACCAAACGCCTTTACTTCCCTTCCCAAGGAAGGCGTGATCAGAGATGTTATGCCTCAGAACATCCCGGCGGTGCCGACTGGGATTGAACCCAGGCCTGCTGGGTGAGATATAATCACGCTTACCACTACACAACCGGCGCCGCTAGACAATCCGAATCAAATTTTTAGCTGTTAAAAATGGATTTTACTAAACTACTTACAGTAATTCATGTTATTTAAAAATAAAAGGGGTGTGAATGAAAACGTCTAAACTTTAATTAAACAATGTTTCAATTCAAAATCTCTGAATTTCTAAATGGTTTGTAGAGTTTTTTGAAGTTTAGATCGAACCACGATCATTATTTTTACAATTCGAACCGAGAGCATCTACCCTACAGTGTTTCTAAAAATGCCCCATAGGTACAGCTGCATTCGGTTTTTTTTATAACTGTATCTCAAGATTTATGTTTAGGTGAAATTTGGGTAACGTCAACAAAAAAAAATCAGGTGGACAAAATCAATTGTTGATAGACAGATTATTTCATGTTTCTCTTACTATATTGTATACCTCTGCACTCTATAAAAAAAAAACATTTTAAAAACTTCGTAAAACCCTCCATGCCTGTTCTCAGCCTACCCACAAACATGCAACCATGCGTTCTCCATCGATTATCGCTTTTCAACCGAAATCTAATTTTGTGTTTTTCTTCTTACTCCACTTGCAGGGCCCCGGCTGGGAATACGAAACCGAACTGCCCGAATGGGCCCGTGTCGACTGGCACGATAATGACTTCGAATGAATGGCGTTGGTCAACGGCGCCTTCGGGCTACTGCTGGACGACTACGGGGAGATTCACTGAATCGCTCCCCCCTTGATCCGTGACCAACCAACCAGCACCAGTAGTAGCGGCGACGGGCGTCCGTCTGGGCGTGCGTTTGTGTGCAGGGCACACGAAAAGCTAAATAATAGAAGAAACAAAACAGAACTAGAAACACTTAAGGAGCAAGCAAGCAACTGTGACCAAAACCCGAGTGTGATTTGAACCTGTGTTCCGGAAAGTGATCACAACTTTATACAACGGTAGAAGCCAGCAGGCAGCAGAATGAACAACTACACAAAAGAAAAGACAAATAGCAGCCAAAGCTAATTTGGCGACCAAAACTAAACAATAACAAACAAATAGTGAGGGTGGCTGCCAACGAACGGATTTATCAAAGGTTAAAAGGAAGGAGGCGATGTTAGGAAACAGAGGAAACATAATATTAGGTCTTTAAGTTTTAGGGTATTTAGAGGCGAAGCAGACAGAAGACGTTATGGCATTAAGGACATGCATACAAAAAGGAAAACAATTCAAGCAACAAGCGGCTAAAAGAGAACTAATCTTTAGAGGATGAAGTAGATGCTACACAGAGAAGCGCTTCTTTTTAAACGCAAACATTGTTGTGTTTTTTTTTTATTCAATAGCTAAGCAAGGTCTATACACAGACACAGACACAGGCGTACGACATAAGCTCTAGTAGAGGAGAGGCAAACAAAAAAGGACGAGGAAACGCAGCGGAAATTATGCAAATTTTTGCCGTGCAAAAGTGCGCCCAGCGAGGAAGAAAACCGGGAAATGAATATCACTTCGCATTAACTATTAAAGTAAGTGCTTGTTTCTGTTAGCTTTGCTGCTGCTGCTGCTGCAGGTCGACCCCGCTGCTGGCAGTAAGCTTTGCATAACACCACACTAATCCGTGGGTTCAACATGGTTTTTAGCGATCTGAGCGCACGGTGTTATCTGCGATTGGTCGGTCACACTTATCATCTTGTAGTCGCCGATGTCTATCTGTCTGATTTGGGCTTCTTCTCACACGCACTTGTTCCGAACGCTGCCGAACCGTGGGTCGTTGTACCGATCTACGGTTGCTCGGTGGAAAATTGAATATTTAATGGATTATTTAGATTTCGCGCGACACGGTCCGCTCGAACCCGTGCTCGCAGCTTCATTAGGACGGTTATTATTAGGTGAGATTCGTTTTATCCAGACAGAGCAAATCAACCAAGCTGTTGCTTGGTTCTTTGCTCGGGAAGGAGGGACGTGCCGGAGGGAGTGATGCGAAAACATGCCGTCGAAAGTTGCGGTCGAATCTGTCTGACAGGAACATTATTGTGTTGCTCGGAATATTTGTCCACACCGCGAAGTTTATTGCGAGCAATTTTAATTAAAACGAAATTGAATTTTAATATCTATGACCACCACCGGTGAGGAATTAATATAAATGTTGCGTTCGATAGGCGGAGGGGAGGGGGGAGTTCGGGTAAAGGTGTCCGGACTAATTTATGTCAATGAGAGTGGTGAAGATTTTCATTAAGTGGAAATTGCGAGGCAGTTTGTGTAAATTTTGTTCGTGCTCTGAAACATTGGATGGTGAGAGTTTTTGACATATTCATTGTTACATTGTGGCGAATTTGAATTAAATCGCAATGTTATTATTATCATGAAGAACCTGCGAAGAACATGAAATCATTTTATAGAATATTGGGAAACGGGCTTCTTTTTTATTCTTCACATGCTCTTCATTTTTGCCTCCTGTATTACCGTACGATAGGCAACAAAGTGACGTAAACGTCATTGTGACCAATTTTCCCTTCATTGCATTTTCATATTCAGTGCATCAAACTGTGCCTCTTATCACCATATCATTGAAATTTGGACCATTATTTCAATAGTAAAATTTCAAATATCCGGATCTGCTTACGAAAACAAAGATTCAAACGTCAAACGTGATGTGTCAACATCATCTTCAGGTAGGGTGAAGTTTCCCTGCCATTATGGTGGTGACACATTGACGTTTGAATCTTTGTTTTCGTAAGCAGATCCAGCTTTTAGAAGATCCTGGCTTTTCTATATCTTGTTCTTGAAAGTTTTCCAAGCCTGTCATGTCGTATTCCAGGTTGAACAATTTTCTTAATTTGATTGCCTTACAGATCTCGTTTTTTTAGTACCAGTATCAGTGCTGCAAAATCTCGACAATATACGGTGATATTGACAATTCTGCTTTGGTCACTCATTTGAGCTAACAGTCATAGTCAAGGCAAACCATGTCAATTGTCAATGACAATGCTGTCAGTGACTAACATGAACTAAATTTGTAGCGAAATTAAATGACTTGAGCAACACAATTACATGGAGCCGTTAAAGTGAACAAGCATCTACGTCTGGAACTGCTTGGATAACAATATTGTGACACAGAATGCACGAAATTATACTTGTTGTTACCTGGTGAATCTTTGTCATTGACGAAAAAATGAATAGATTTTGACGAAAAACATTATTTGAGGATCAAATCTAAATGGTTCAAAAAAAAAATCCTTGAATCGAACAATTTTTTTCATGATAAAGATTTTGAGGGGAGACACCAGCCGAGATCTCTAAAAAAGGGGTTTTTATTGATATTTTTTTAGAACACTAGAATAAATGCTATCACTTTGGGTCTTTAGTATGTTATTGCAACATTTCAGCTTTTTTTTTTCGAAAATTTTCAACCAAAAATATTAGTTTTTCCGCTGTTTTCAGCACTGTAACCAGACCAATTATCATTGCGAAAATAGTGGCGTTCGAAAACAAAAGTTCGATTTTTCGTTGAAAAAATCGCTACTCAAACCACTAAAAAAATCGAAAAGTTGGAATATCCGAAAAACAGAAGAATCAGCCACATTGATCGAATAATCTCCGCGATCCCTGTCTCGCAAACTAAAACAATTTGGTTTCAAGAAAAGGGCTGCCAACAGTGGAAAATATCCGGAAATAAAGCTGAAATGTTACTCAATAACATACTGATAACCCGAAGTGATTGCATTATTCTAATGGGCTAAAAATGGTAAAAAAAAACACCTTTTTTAGAGATCTCAACAGGTGTCCCCTCTTAAGTCCTAGACGTAAAAAAAAATCTATGTCCGTGATTTATGCATCATTACACTCAAAAAAATTATCACATATCTAATGGATGAAATCCATGTGAATTTCACATAGCTTTCCTGTGATAACATAGCAGCAAATCCCACCACAAAATCACATGAATATTATGAGGCCGATGAAATTCAGTTGCAAAATCACATAAATTTAATGGGATCGCATAAATGTTATGTGAAATTCAGATGAATTCCATTAATTTTGATTATGGATGAAAATCATGTGCATTTCTAATGGAAGGTACATGCAAACTTTTTTCGGTGTATGACTTTCAATTCTTTTCACTAACACTCTATCGCCGCTCTTTCGATTTGTTTAATATGCTTTATGTCCCGTTTTCGTTACCTGTTTTAAGATAAATATGTGGATGGAAGATAAATTAAACATATTACGTGTAATTGTCAGGTGTTTTCACGTGACAAATGCTTTAAATCTATATTTTCAGTTTCCGTCATGAAACCTCGTTGATGTGTTTCATGAAAGACGAAACTATCAAAGTCGAGCGGTCTTTCACTCGGCCGCTTCACCGAAGCTAGAAAAAAGGACCAACGAAGCGACGGTAGAACGGTAGACAAGCGATTGAAAATTAGTTTGTAGACGGCGAGGGGGGCGACACATCTAAATTCCAATTCTAGATCCTAAAAAAAATCTCACACTAGCGAATCAATCTTCAAAAAATCTTCTCGCATCTACTTGCATCTACTTGCATCGTGCATCATCTTTTTGCCGGAAATCTTCAGAATCGTCATCAATCTTCTTTCAATCTACTCAGCGTGCGCACAGCTAGCCACATTGAAACACAATCTTTCCTGCATCGTAGAAAGAGTCGTCCCTCTCGGTAGAAGCCAATTGAGGTTCTAGAATGGTGCGAAGCTGTTCGACTTCAACAGAAAAAGAAAGCTAGCAGTTTCTTTGTCGCATTGATTTTGTGTCGATGTAAGCTGATATTGTGACGTCCTGATCGAAATGACGGCTGAGACACAGTTGAAGAGAATAAAGGCGTACTAACTAAAAGCTACAAGAACAATAGCTGCAATTTCCAAACCTACGACTAGATGCCTCCCTTCAGATGATGACTTGAGTGCGGTAAAAATCGATAGAACTTTTTCCAACACATCGTAGGTATAGTCGCTATATTCAAAGTCTGGCGAATAGAATTTCGATTTATCAAATAGCGGAACCAATTCAATATATTGTAGAACAACAATTGAGATGGTACTATCAACTTTTATAAACAAAACGTTGATTATTCTTTCCTCGCCAATAGAACGCAAATTACCAGCATAATCGGATAAGGGAAACTTTTCCCAACCCAAAGATGGTATTAATTTGCGTAGGCGAGTCTTGAGTCACGAGAAAAGGTGTTGGTTAATCGGTCCTTACCTCCATCGATATTCGGCAGTGGAGATGATCCGCCGTCTCCAACACTGATTGGGAAACACCGGTTGGCTTAATACCGCCAGTGTGTTGCTGCTGATGGCGTTTTTGGGAGGAGTGAGGTTGCGGGGAATCCAATTGCTTACTGGTTAAAATGGGGTCACAGTCCTTCCAATGTTGGTCCGGATACTTCTGGCTTCAACACTAAACAAACACTCGCGGGTTGGGGTTTAAATTAAAAAATAAATTGGGTTTTAATTTAAATTCTGGGGGTCTTACTCTCGTACAAAAGGGGTTCCGAAGTTTTGTTCGCAATAGCTGATGTGCTCTTTTTTGTTGTTGGTCGCGATTTGCTCGATTGGTTCCGCTATTTGACAGCTCAATTGGCTCCCGAGATTCTATCCGCCAGACTATGAATATAGCGACTATAATCGTAGGTACATGAGCAAATTGGTGATCAGCTCTTGTTGCCAGTGGTGGCGGGAGGGGAGTTTGGTAAAGAGAGATGATCAACTCGATTCGTACCTTCCTCAAAGTTGTCCTTGCTCGCTTTCTGCTCCCTTTATACAATTTTCACACTGCCGTACTCTAACGGAACTATCAACTCTATACTTTCATCTCCTCCATCTATCATACAAAATTACCACTCTAGGTCTGTTATTTGACGCTTAGAATCTTCTACTATATAAAAGTTCATGTTCTACGATTTTTGTCAGCTTTCAAGTTTCCATGGCTTTGAACGTTCCAAAAGTTTTTATGCTACATATGCTTCTTTTTTAGAAAAAAAAGTTTCAAAAATCGAGCAAGGTAATTTTCAGATATTTTGATTATAACATTTTTTTAAAATGTTTCTTTTTTAAATAATTTAAAAAATAAAAAATGTTATGTTTATTTTTCCAGAAAGAAATTATTTGTTTCTACAACTTTGCCTCACAAGTCATTTCGATCAGAAATGCCGATTCAGTGCCACATTTTTTTTTAAACATTTCACGAACGCCATTTGTACCAATTAGAACATTCAATTTTTTTTCGCTATTTTGCTTGGAACTGCTCAATTAAAAATTTAGATTTGGAACGCAAAAACATACTCACAGGGAGAGATGGGTGGAGAAAACTAAACACAATTCGGCAGTAGGGTCAACACTCGTGTTTATTTCAGTTACCATGGTAACGTAATTTTTGATCGACGCCGGTCCCTTTCAATTTGTCTCACTATTTATGATCGGCCCTTATATTTGAAATGATGTTTCACTCTCATCTAATGATGTCCGGTTTTCATTCGAATAATCGATTAATCGATTGACGAATCGAAAAGTAAAATATTTGTTATCGGTTATATCATGCTGATATAAGCATTAACTTCTCCAGACGATTATCACCCATAGTTTCAAACTTATTTTGCACTCCCATTGCACAGTGGTCCAGAATGCAGATTTAGGTGGAATGATATGTTTTGAGCCTGAAACTAAAACTTTAGACTAAAAGTCTCTTCTACAAAGTAGTTCCTTATAGTTACGTCCTCATTTTTATGACAATGAATTCTAGGGTGGTTCCTATTATCATTAAAATCAAAAATCTAACTTTTTTGCTTGAATAAATTAAGGTTTACCTTCTTCGACAAAGTTATAGCTGAGCTAATTTCAAGCAACTTTGTTGAAAACAATTTTTTTGTATCTCTTAAATTGGCCGATTTAGAGCTATTTTCTTGAACTTAGTTAGAGTGGCTTTTAAAAAACAGTTTTTGTGCTCTATTTTTCTTATTTCGAATTTCTCAGCAAAGGTGTCTTAGTGTCAAGAGTTATTGACTTTTTTATACTAAAAATTTGCACAATGCTAATATCTCTGGTTGGGGCAAACAAAAAAAAAAAAATTTACGGCATTTGCAAGCGCGTATGTTATTCTCAATAATATGAAAAAATTGGAGGTATGTTATTTTTTAAACTCGTATAAAATCAATTTGAATTTATTCATATTTTTTACTATATTTGGGTATATCTTTTTTATTAGAAGAGATACAGGCAACAAATTCAGATATAAAACATTCGCCTTAGAGAGTTTTAAAATTCTCTAGAAGATAACTTTCATGAGAAATTTCAAATAAAAAAGTTATTGCTAAAAAACTATTTTTTCCAGCAACACCCTAAGTCAACTCCGAAAAATTACTCTAAAATGAGAACGTTAAGAGATAGAAAAAAAATTTCTTCGACAAAGTTGCTTGCAATTAACTAAGCTACAACTTTTTTAAACAACACATGTTTTCATTTTGTAAAACAAAAAAGGTAGTATTAAAAATTCCCTAATTTGAGGACCACCCTGACGTTTGCAAACACCAAAAGAAGGGAATTTTTAAGAACAAAAACTTCTTTGAAGACATTAAATGTCCAAATATTGAAACAAATGTACAAGCACATTTTATATAAATTTGTCATTAGAGTGGTCCTATGAAATCCATCTTTTGCCAATAACTTTTTTATTTGAAATTTCTCATGAAAGTCATCTTCTAGAGACTTTTAAAACTCTTTAAGACGAATGTTTTATAGCTGGATTTATTGCCTGTATCTCTTCTAATAAAAAAGATATACTCAAATATAATAAAAAAATATGGATAAATTCAAATTGATTTATAAAATTTAAAGTTTAAAAAATAACATACCTCCAATTTTTTTCATATTTTTGAGAATAACATACGCCCTTTCAAATGCCGTAGAAAAACTTTTTTTTGTTCGCCCCAACCAGAGATATTAACATTTGAAAAGGTCATATTTTTAGTATAAAAACGTCAATAACTCTTGATCGGCGAAAGATATTGACAAGCTTTGTGCGGCAAAAATTTGCATCTTTTTAAGATCTCAAAGTTATTTGAAGACACCTTTGCTGAGAAATTCTAAATAAGAAAACTAGAGCTAAACAACTGTTTTTTTTTTAGAGCCACCCTAACTTAAATCAAGAAAATAGCTCTAAATCGGCCAATTCAAGAGATACAAAAAAGTTGTTTTCAAAAAAGTTGCTTGAAATTAGTTCAGCTATAACTTTGCCAAAGAATGTATACCTTAAAATATTCAAACAAATAAGTTAGATTTTTGATTTTAATGATAATAGGAACCACCCTAGAAATCATTGTCATAAAAATGAGGGCATAGCTAGAAGGAACAACTTTGTAAAAGAGACTTTTAGTCTAAAGTTTCAATTTCAGGCTCAAAACATATCATTCCACCTAAATTTGCATTCTGGACCACTGTGCATTGCAGCCTCCCGTAGTATGGCGAGAAATTCAAAGAAGCGTTATGGCAGGAAATCGTGCCTACTTTGGACTCCAGAGAATGCTCCGGTCGAATAAAATTTGCCACCGCACGAAGTTGACTATCTACAAGGCGCTGATTAGACCTGTGGTCCTCTACGGCCACGAGACCTGGACTATGCTCGGGGAGGTTGGTTGATGTTTTCGAACGGAAGGTGTTGCGTACCATCTACAGTGAAATGCAGATTGATGGCGGAACGTGGAGGAGGCGAATGGACCACGAATTGCTCCAGCTGCTGGGAGAACCATCTATCGTCCACATTGCAAAAATTGGGCGACTACGGTGGGCTGGGCACGTCGTAAAAATGCCGGACGACGACCCAGTAAAAATGGTTCCCGAAAGCGACCAACAAGAAGAAGAGGCACACAGCGGGCAAGGTGGATCGGCCAAGGGGACGTAATAATTTTTATGGGGCGAGTGGTCAATTTGTTAGCTAATGGTGACAAGCTTCAACAGCTTCCGATTACGCTAATCAATACGATCAGCGAATCCAAACACATGACGCAACCAACGATACAGACAAAACGGTTGCTACGACTACCATGACAAACTCGCTCTGTAACATAGATCGATCGGAGTGGTAGAAGGATAATAATATATTAGTTGATTAGTAAAACGCTCCTCGATGATCCTCAAAAACGGTAGGGCAAGATGGAACATGATGGATCATAAGGCAAGATGGGTCATCTACTTGACTTTATTTTTGTATTATCAACATCAACAGGCTCAATGTAGCCTTAATGCTGGTTTCAAAAAGCAAACCATCATTAGGATTTCAACTGGAACTGTTGATTTTGACGAACACATAAGTTAATAAATGTACTAGCTGACTCATCTTGCCTCATCTTACCCCATACTGACTAATCGACACAATTTTAAATTTCTCTCATTGGTCGTTCACGTACATCACTCCTATTTCCCAATATCGTTGAATTTTTCAGTATTTGGTCCCGAACAGTAAAAGCACCGACAAACCGAAATGACACTCAATTCTGACTTATGCCCGAAAATCGTAAACGGCCGATTTAAATGTGCAGTGATCCGAACTGTCAAAACCATAGGATTTTTTGATCTAGATAAAAATAATTCTTTGTGTGTGTATTCCCTCCAACCCCCACTGGCCGGCAGTGTTATTATGGAAGAACTCTCTCTCTACAATGTCGCATATATGGTCATTGTAGACAGCTTTAGTCCAGGAGTTAGAAAGTGATAGCTCTATTGCAGATCCAGCAACCCATTTCAGAATGTCGCCCATTCCGAGGTTACTTTCACTTACAATAAGCCCCGCATGAATGTAGTATTACAGTATTAGTATTACACACACACTAACAGTTTCAAAATGTTCTTTTGAATCCTGGCACGTATTTGGTTTATTCTATTTTTTAATTTGTAAAAAGTATTTGGACCATGTTAATTTGATCCTCCAATCCATGGGATCCGTAGTTTTGATATTCTCTAAGCTTTGCATCTCATTTCGTGATGCACATTTGTCGTAATACTTCCTTCAACGAACACAAATTTTCTTGCATTGCCATGGTCATCTGGGAGGAGGTTCGCGTCTAGTGCTTTTCCCCAGGGACAGTTCGCGGCCACCAACTACCACCCGTCCAGTCTTGGGCGTATCCAGCGAGGCATCATTCAGATTGCTCGCAATCTCCGACACCGGCGAGAGACCAGCAGCCGAGCACTTTTGCAACCGGAGAACTTGCCGATTCACGGCAACGTCGGCCACTAAATCACGACCAAACCTCACGACGGACACATTATCAGCACGTTCCCGGACCGGTTTCAAACTCGCCCACGGTGACGAATCTCTCAATAGATTTGCACGCCGTGTGGCATCCGAACTAGGAAAAACGGGCTCCCGGAACTGGAACTGAAGCTGCGTCGTAGATTTCGGAACACCCGAAGCTAAATTTCAGCACACAATTTAACAAATTTAATGCAAAAAATGTTTGATTCGCTGACGAAAAATACGCAGCAAAAGAAAAATACGTCAGCTTTCAAGCGCGGCCTACTGCCACTTTTTCTTGATCTAGATAAAAATAATTTATCCAGAATACATAACTTTTGCATGTGGGTTCATCGTAAACACCCGCAAACACGGAGCCAGATGTCAGTAGTGGTTTTCGTCAGAAATTTTATTGTTTTTGGTGTGGTCATTCATGTCGGTTTTTCGGTGGTAAAGGGTCAATGAAACAGATCTTTTCATATTGATTTGCTTTATTTGTCTATGGAGACGCATGGTTTTTGATACCCTAATGGGAGCTGGGGTTAAAAATGTTCATTTATCAACGGAGGTTAAATTATTCCCATAGAAATGGTCTGATTCAATCGTTACATTTCAATTACCATCTCTTCGTGTGACGGAACTCTTCCCCCGGCCCAATTAACCTCCCTCTCTGAACTGCACAGGAGATCCAATTTTAAATTATTTGCAATAAAATAT